CGCCTTTTTCTTGTTGAGTTACCGTTGCATAAGAGTTGATCGTATGCACGCAACTTCTACGAGACGTTCATTCTTCTAACCAATTTACAGTTATCACTATTCATGACTTGGTGTCTAAAATGAAGACTCCAAGTGCCTTGAGTATTTGAAGATTCCGATACAAGTGTTAAGAATGCAATTTAATTTTTTCAATGTTTAGAACTTTCAGAATTATTTTAAGTTTTTCACTTTTTTAGATTTAGATATTTAAATTCTATAAACATAAAATACATAGTATAAAATACACACTTTCAAACTGAAATGTGTGTATATTGATTAACATTAAAAATGACAAATAACTTTACTAATAAAATGATAAAATCATAAATCAAATACAGGTCAAAAAATACGTTTACCGATAGCCTTGACAAATGAAGTATACCGCACAATCATAGATATTGCAACAATCCTTGACACTCATGCAAACACTTAATATTTTTCTCGATAATTACCTTACCAAATTGCTACGGTATTTCGAAGTTACCAATATCATAATTGAAAGTAGCCAGTGACTATTAATAGCTACATGTCTGTAATACAGGGCGACATCTAAAATCTGTACGAAATGTCCCTATTAAAAATGCCATATAGAAACCCAAAATAAAAATCTATCTGGTTCAATACAGGAATTTGAAACAGGCATTGCACTATTGAACCAGATAGAATTCCATACCTGGAAAACCATATGGAAAAGTGATTTCTATATGGATTGCCATATAGGTTCATATTGCTCTATCTGGCCCAATATGGTTTGGGTGTGAAAAAATTATTACCATATAGATCCATATTTAACCATATAGGGGAATCTATATGGTTTAATATGCAATTTTCGTTTAAATATATATACATTTTAAAGTGGAATTCCATATTCAACCATATAGGGAAACCTATATGGAAAGACACATAAAACCGAAACCAGATAAATCCATATAAAAATCCCTAAGTTGTACATTTTAAAATGAAATTCCATATTAAACCATATAGATTCCAAAGTGTAAACCAGGTCGTTCCATATAGGACATATAGAACCATATATTTTAATGTTTATAATGTTTTTTGTATTAATTGTATTTATTGATTTTAATTTGGATATACACTGTGTTTACTTATTAATTATTTATTGTACCTATTATGTTTTATTTTATTGTAACTTGAAATTTTTGACTAGTCATGTAACATTTTTTTGATGACAATAAACTATTCTATTCTAAAACTATTCTATTCTATAAATCCATATTAGTTTCCTTATCTGGATCAATATGGGTTCTATAGGGCATTTTTAATAGGGGTAAAAATGAAGGGAAAATTTACAAAAAAGAATAATCGAAACATTTTATTTTTTTATTATCTCTGTTACACTGTTATAAAAATCAGATTTGTTAACATGAGTTTGTACTTTGTTAATTTTATTTTGTAAAATTTTAACACATTTTTTTGTAATTATTTTAACAAAATAAAATACTTTACCGAAAGTTTTGTAAAGGTAATATGCAATTTTGTAAGCATTTTGTTAATTTTAAATGTTACAGATTATTTTGTTAAAGTTAAACAAATTATTTTGTTGAAAAAGTACATGTGATTTCAGGTAGTCAATCAAAACATTTCCCACTGAAAATACGCATCAACAAGTTCAACTGACTTAAGCGTCTGCAACTTATGTTTCTGCTTAATTTAATCTAATTAGTAACGTGTTCGTAACAACTGTCCAGATTGTTTATAATATATTATCAAAAATCTGTTATTATTGTTATTCGAATTCCATATACCTATTTAACGATTGTTCGAAGTGTCCGAAAAAAGATACCATCACTGGTTTTCAAACTGAAGTTAGGGGATATAGTGAAGTGGGTTAAAGTTACGAAATACATCAGTAAGTGTTGTATTAGTACTGATAATTATATTGTACTAAATTTCTTTATAATTTGATGATTTTAAAATGTTGTGTTATTTATTTGTGTTTATGTTATTTTCGTGTTCATTTTATGCACCTATGTGTAACAAACTGATATTTTACTTTTACTATGTTTTTAACTGAACAAATGGATTTTTGGATCTTTCCCCGTATACCTAAAAACGTATTGTAGAACGGTACACCGCACATAATTCTCGATGATAAATAACCTTGAAGAAAAGTGAGATGTCGGGATGCCTTACCGAAGAGTTAATTAACCGTATAAAGTTTACACTGCGATCGTGTGACGAAATACAGCGGTGCATCGATGCACTCTTCTTCTTCTAACGGTATCCTTCTTATGGTTCCCCTGCCTCGGGTTTGGACTGTCCTGCTGGTATCATTGTACTTTGAACTTAAACCACCCAAAGATTTAAGTTAAATTTAATATACAGTGAGTTGCCGGATCGAGTTGCCAATAGGAAACTTTTAATTATGCGTTTTACGATTTTTTTTATAAAATATCCCGAGAGATTCCGATTAACAAAAATTGAATAAATCGTACAGGGTGCTCAAAAATACTTCAAATACACCTTGATTTATTATTTTATAGGCAAATTTTATAAGAGGAACGCGTTGACAATTTAAATTTAAATTTAATTCTAAAATACCAAATAAACTACTGACAATTCTAAAGCCATTCAACCTCACTTTATACTTTTAATAATTGAATCGGTGAGAATAAGAACAGTACAAGTCCAAAAATCTAATTTTGACAAGTCATTTTTTAAAATCAATTTTAAAGTTTAAAATACCTACATTTTTCTGAGAAGATATAAATTATTTTACAGAATATGGACATTATATTTTATAAAATAGTTAAAATATTCCCGCAAAAATGCATTTAGAACTATAAAACTGATTTTTTAAAAACACATAGTTTTGAGCCTCTTAACATAAATATCCATTATATTCAATCAAAAAACCTCGCAGGATGTAAAAATAATTAAGACCAATCGAGTTTTGTAGCTCCTATAGGACTGTACTCCTGTTTGGAAGAATCAAAAAAGTTCAAATATAACCTCAGTTTTCACTTTTAATAATTATTATAATGTTACGTTCTATAAATTGTTTAACAAATAAAATTATGCCTTAGGATGAAATGTTGTATTCCATGCGGCTGGAATGTGTATTTTTGTTCTACGCTTAATTGTAGTAAACCAGCACAAAAAGACTTACTTCTTAGCCTTATAAATAATAAAATTAAATGTTATAAAATGTACTTCCTTTTATTTATTTTGTTAATTTCTGAGCACCCTGTATATTTAATTCCAAAAAATATTTTGGAATCTCTTTCTTTAAAACGCATAATAAAAAAGTTGCTTCTATTGGCAACCCCATAATAGAGACACAAATATTGATAAAATTAATCCAAATTTCGGAGACTCCAATAGGAGAAGCACGACGAACCTTTTATTATGTTTTTCTACTTGCACCTTTAAAACACCCAATATCGTACATGTTTTCATGACACCAAGTGACCTTTATAGAGCCTTAGTCACGGGCTAAAGTTAGTTTTAAGTTAGTTGACAGTTGCCGAATGTCATACAATCTTTAAAATAAAGTGCCTATCTTATAAAATAATACTAAATGTAAAAATTATTTTATTATCTTAATACAAAAATACAAAAGTATTTAATAGTTTCTTGACGCCAATATTTAAAAAATATATATATAAACGTTTGTACATTTTGACTACATTTAACTGATAAAGCGTTAAAAATGCGTACAGTGCTTATAAAACATTATCTTCTCTTTTAATGTGAAAAACTGCTTCTATATCGATTTTTAAGGGAGATTTTAACGCCGGTAGATTCCCGAGATATAAATTCAACTGTCACTTTTTGTAACTTTAACATTTCACGTGTAAGAATTGTGATAATATATGGCAATTATAATAATTAAAAAAATCGAATAATAAAATATTTAATATTTTAAAGTATCAATAATCGTTAAGTTTAATTAAAATAATAACGGGCAATTTTAATGGTGTAAATTACGTAAATATGTTTATTGGGATGATTACTTTATTTTCGTATAGATGTCGCTTTATTCAAATATTTAATTTAAATTATTTTTATATAGCATTTGCCGTTTAAAAAGTATAGCATGCAACTTGTTTATAAACTTTTCTAGGCACTCATTTAATTAAGCACTCGCTCGCAAGCACCCGTGCCTAAATTAAATTCGTGACTAAAATGGCGTTTATCAAACTTAATATATATAAATAATATACTATAAACTATTTTGAAAAGCATAATTATTAAAATTCAATATTTTAAAAATCATAGGTCAAGATATTATCTATTTGAATATTTTTTTCTGTAATACGATATAGATATAATAGATTGTTACCAAGGTGGTTTTGTACACTTTGTTTTTATATTTATTTATGATATAACTAAAATTAACTCAGTAAGTGTTTGAATGATTAGTACCTATATGTAATAATAATTTTATGTTAGTTATATACAGAGTGATTCACCTAACTGATTTATTAGAGGGTAGAGAACTAAAAGGGACATCAATATGGTCCTTTAATTATATTTAAAAAAACTAAATTAATTGACTAAAATTCCATTTTTCGAAGATTTGTAATTTTTTCCACTAATAGTGTGTGTATGTTTTTTAATAGTCTTTGATGGCTAAAAATTATTTAAAAAAAATAGGCAACAAAAATATGAAGAAACTCAAGTTTGGAACACTTTGACTCACTTTAGTTAAAAATGCAATACTTTGTTTAAATAATTGTATGATAAGATTAATGTTAAAACTTAAATGTCATTAAAAACTCTAAAACCAAGGACTGCCCTACAATATTCTATAACAATCTTAAAATATCCTTTAAATTTACATCGTATGCATGGCAACCAAATGCACTTCGTGCAAGACCTTTGTGAGCCGCCCCCGCCAAGCCTGTTTGTGCCGGTCCCCACCCGGCGGGGGACCCACGCCGCCTTACCTTATTTTTCGTACCCGACACGTTTTTAACGTTGTTTGCATTTGTTGTTGTCAAGTGGCCCGCGCGCGCGAATACACCGACCGGTCCACGAATGCTGCTGCAGTGCGTGCCGTGCAAGAAAAAATTATGTAAGCGAGACTGAAAAAAATTCAGAAGAGTTTATTTTTGTGCCGTGCAAGCCGAACAAGTTGTCTACATGTAAAACTAGTGGTTTGAGGTTTTTCTTCTCTTTTCTGCGGGATCTGTGAAGTTTGCTGTGAGCGAAACATGGGCGATATTTTGCGCATTCAGGTAAACATTGACAATTTTATTTTCCTGATAAAATTTATAACATTTTTAAAATATTTCTTTGATATCTACTAAAAAATTATTTCTTTTTCAAAAAATAATAAAAAGCAAAATTTGATCATATTTAAAAAATCTAAAGTTATTATTAGTATAAAGTTATAAACTGGAAAACCCTGTTTATTTTTTTATTATATTATTTTATTTAAAGAATTTATTTTGTGGTTATTATTATTATTTTCCAAAAAATATTAAAAAAAAGGACTCAGATCTATTCAGGGTTCCCAGCATTGTTTTGTACTTTTTTTTTATGATTTTATGACAAATTTTTCAAATTTTATGACATTTTTTATGACAAGAATTTATTATTTCTAAAGTTATTTAATAAAATAAATGTAATTTTTTAACGGTTTTTTATATAAAAATAAATATTTTTTCTCGCATCAAAATAAATAATTCTGCTATAATATTTTTAATATATGTTACTTTAGTATTTTATTATAATAGGTATTATAATCTCAAAATAAATAAAACCACAAAGGTATACAAATCTGAAATATTGGAGGCTCAAACAATGATTAACATGGGTCTCAAAAAAGCAAAAAAAAATAGTATATATACTAGGGTGATTCAAAAAAAGCCTTTTTTTAAAAATGAACCCGCACTGGCCTAAATTATAAAGATTACATTAAAACTAAAATATTGATACCAAAAAATCCAAATTCGATGAATATTTAGAGGTCGCTCAAATCAATTTTCGTATTTTTGCACATTCGAGCCGCGAAATTTTTACTGCACAAAATAGTAAATAACTCCGTTAGTTTTTAATCGATATTATTAAAAAATTAAGGGTTACCTAGTTTTTTAATACCCTCTGAGACAATGTATTGAACTTTACAGAAAAATATTTTTTTTTCATGAAAAAAAATAATTTATTAATAAAAACGTATCATCTTATAAAATAAGCAACAATTGGAATCGCACTATGATGGTACCGTAAAAAAACTAAGAAAATAACACTTAAATTATTTAGTATACAGAAAACCTGCCGAAAGAAATATTTTATTTGATTTATATAAAATATAACCTAAAAATAATTAAGTAATTTAGATTTTTTCCATTTTCAAACGATTTTATAAATAATTTATATCCGTTTTATTAATTATGACGTATTTTTATAATATTTCTTTATTTTTGATACCATATTTAATTAATTACACTAGGTAGTTATTAAATTAGGTCCTTTTTACAACTAAAATAAAATAACGTTAACTACAAAATTATTCACTCCATTAAGCAAAAATTTAAATTTTATTAAAATTATTCACATACAACAATTCTCAAATTTTGATACCAAAATTATTTGATTCTGTCTAGAAGTTGCTAAATTGACATACCACAATAATAATTATTATTCTTAAATTTTGATAGTAGGACCTACTACCAGGTAGTTGATAAATTATATAAATATAAATATATATATATATACATTAGGGTGCTTCAAAAAAATTTTCGCTCTTACCCTCTCAAATGTTTTTATTTAATATAAAGAAAATCCTCACCAAATATGAGCGTTCCAGCTCAACTCTAAGAGGTCGATGTTTTTATTTTAGTTTCCCATTGAATTAACATGGGAAAAAATAATTTTATATTTGGAATTTTATACCTCTGTATCAAAGTAACTTATGGCAATGATTATTGCAGTTTCTTATATAAAATTTAACGCTCTACAAAAAGGGTCTCTTTATTTTTCGATAAATTGATTTCTTCTAGAGTTATTCGAGGTCAAAGTTTGATTAACATCAAATTTTCTGTTTTTTTTTTTAATTTTTTGGTAAAATTAGCAGACTTGAGGTGGAAGTTTGATTAACATGGGGCACCCCATTTTGCCCCCCCCCCCGCTGCCTTGTTTTGCCCCCTTTCACCTCCCGTCTGCTAATTATACCATAAAATTAAAAAAAAAACAGAAAATTTATTTGTTAATCAAACTTTGACCTCGAATAACTCTAGAAGAAATCAATTTATCGAAAAATAATAAGAGACCTTTTTTGTAGAGCGTTAAATTTTATATAAGAAACTGCAATGATCATTGCCATAAGTTACTTTGATACAGAGGTATAAAATTCCAAACATAAATTAATTTTTTCCCATGTTAATTCAATGGGAAACTAAAATAAAAACAGCGACCTCTTAGAGTTGAGCTGGAACGCTCATATTTGGTGAGGATTTTCTTTATATTAAATAAAAACATTTGAGAGGGTAAGAGCGAAAATTTTTTTGAAGCACCCTAATGTATATATATATATGTATATATATTTATATTTATATAATTTATCAACTACCTGGTAGTAGGTCCTACTATCAAAATTTAAGAATAATAATTATTATTGTGGTATGTCAATTTAGCAACTTCTAGACAGAATCAAATAATTTTGGTATCAAAATTTGAGAATTGTTGTATGTGAATAATTTTAATAAAATTTAAAGTTCTGCTTAATGGAGTGAATAATTTTGTAGTTAACGTTATTTTATTTTAGTTGTAAAAAGGACCTAATTTAATAACTACCTAGTGTAATTAATTAAATATGGTATCAAAAATAAAGAAATATTATAAAAATACGTCATAATTAATAAAACGGATATAAATTATTTATAAAATCGTTTGAATATGGAAAAAATCTAAATTACTTAATTATTTTTAGGTTATATTTTATATAAATCAAATAAAATATTTCTTTCGGCAGGTTTTCTGTATACTAAATAATTTAAGTGTTATTTTCTTAGTTTTTTTACGGTACCATCATAGTGCGATTCCAATTGTTGCTTATTTTATAAGATGATACGTTTTTATTAACAAATTATTTTTTTTTCATGAAAAAAAAATATTTTTCTGTAAAGTTCAATACATTGTCTCAGAGGGTATTAAAAAAATAGGTAACCCTTAAATTTTTAATAATATCGATTAAAAACTAACGGAGTTATTTACTATTTTGTGCAGTAAAAATTTCGCGGCTCGAATGTGCAAAAATACGAAAATTGATTTGAGCGACCTCTAAATATTCATCGAATTTGGATTTTTTGGTATCAATATTTTAGTTTTAATGTAATCTTTATAATTTAGGCCAGTGCGGGTTCATTTAAAAAAAAAGGCTTTTTTTGAATCACCCTAATATATACCTATAGGTACTATTTTTTTTGCTTTTTTAGACCTATGTTAATCATTGTTCAAATTACAGATTTTTTAAGAGTAGTTATGTAGTTATTGTTAAGGTACTTTGATAATTTCTTATTTCCTTCAGAAATAATATTTCTTGTTATTTTTAACTCTGCTTCCTTACTTGCCAAAATAGTATCAATTTTTTCAAGTCCTTCTTTGTGGCTTCCTTAGTAAAGTAATATAGTATAAAAATAAATTTACCTTTCTCATTATTTATTTCAAATTTAAAATTCATTTCCTAACCTAACTTATTTTTCCTTCATAGTATGAAGTTTATACGTCAACAACCAATGCCATATTTAAAACATTTTATTGCGTTTTATTCTACAGGACCGGCTTTAAATTTTATTTTACAAAATTTCCATTTTATAAAAAAGATCAAAGGTGAGAAAATTGTTAAAAAATAATGAAATTTTATGATTTCTATGACAAAATGTGAATTTTATGACATTTTAGGACAATTTAACCAATTTTATGATATTTAAAAATTTTATGACAAACGGGAACCCTGTCTATTTAACCATCGTTTAGTTTTTTATCTATTTTGCGTTCATAATGACTTCATTGTAACACACCTTTCGGTGCTGTAATGAGGTACTTTACCCCACACAAAATTTTTATTTTATAGGTTGGCTACTTTAAACAGCATACTGGTAAAATAATATTTAGCATATTGGTTTTAATATGTTTTTGATTTTTCTAGTACTTACGAGACTTTTCTGGCAATAAATTTTGTTCAACACCAAAGAAAATCCTTTAACATTAACAGTCGCTTATTGTAAATAAGTAAATTAAGGACGCCATGGCGAATTGATTTACATTAACCCTTCAAACCAATTAATGTAATACCAACTATCTAAAGTAAAATTCGACCAAAATTAAATGTAAGGTATAATTTTTTTTTATTTTTGCAAAATATATAAAATAGTTTAAACATTAATGTTCTAATTAGTTCTTTAATATACCTACCATTAATGCATTGGTAACAACTTTATTTTTTGTTTGTAAAATCTTGTTCATGGGGGGGGGATAATATCATAAAAGGTTAAAAAATTTGGGGAAAAAAGTTAAAAAAATACACAAAAGAACCCAAAAAACAGCCACCAGAAATTGGTCACAATTTTAATGTTCCCAATTAATTTCCTTGCAAACCACTCATCTGATTTTGATGATTTTTTTAATTGTAGGTTACGATGGAAAAAGTTTTTATTATGATTTTTATTTAATCAATACAACAGGGTGCCAAAGAACGTTTTCGCGAAATTTGTGACACCCTCTGGCAGCAACAACAGGATGTCAATTGGAATCATACTGTTGTCCCATTTTTTCTGAATATTCAGTTTTTTTATGACAACTTTACTGTCATATTAACAAAGATACACTAATCTTATAAGACTTCCTTAATATATATTATTAATTGCTCAACTGACATATTATGATATTGTAGCTTTATTTTTGTACAAAGGTTTAATAATTTGACCTTTGAACTAATATTCTTTCCAAATAATATAAAATTTATTGTACGCTTAAAAGATAATGTATATTATAGCATCGCTACTGAAATGACAACAGATCGCTTGAGAGGTTCGCGAGGAAATCATACGAACACTTTTTCCGAAAAGTTGGCTTAAAAACTATGTAATAACGTAAAGAAAAAACAAAATGTTTAAAAAAGATGGGAACACAGTACGATATTAATTGACATCCACTGTTATCCACAGGTTGTGATAAATTTCAAAAAAAAAACTTCTTACTTTTGCATCCTGTATATGCTAAAATAAAATTGTCT